TTGAGCCCAGGAGTTTGAGGTTGCTGTGAGCTAGGCTAACGCCACGGCACTCACTCTAGCCAGGGCAACAGAGCGAGACTCTGTCTCAAAAAAAAAAAAAAAGAAAAAAAAACTGGGGATCAGATGAAATGAAAATGGCAGAAAGTTGATGGTTATGTCTAGGTGATAGGTACACAGGAGTTCACTATACAATCTCAGTAGGCAAGTGTTTGAAAATTTCCCTTTAAAAAGTTTTAAAATAAAGGTTTTTTTTTTAAAGTATTAAAAGCGCTCTTTATGCTTATTCAGACATATAGTTTTTTATTGATTGATTGTTTGATTGAGACAGAGTCTTGCTCTGTCGCCCCAGCTGGAGGGCAGTGGCATCATGATAGCTCACTGCAACCTCAAACTCCTGGGCTTAAACAATTCTCCTGCCTCAGCCTCCTGGGTATCTGGGACTATAGGCATGTACCACTATGTCTGCTAATTTTTCTATTTTTAGTAGAGACAGGGTTTTGCCCTTGCTCAGGCTGGTCTTGAAATCCTGAGCTCAAGCAATCCTCCCACCTTGGTCTCCCAGAGTGCTAGGATTACAGGCGTGAGCCACTGTGCCTGGCTCATTAGACATATAGTTTTATTATGTATCATTCTTTATATAAGCTAAATAATTGGGATAAATGAAATAAAAAATTCTTAAAACTTCACATTAAGTGTCAACTCTTCTGGAACATTTCAACATCATTATTGATATCCGCATTTTTTCATATGTATTTTCTACTGTGCCACCAAGAGCCCAAGAGATGCAACATTTCTTAAAAGAGTCCTCCATTCTACTATTGTCACAATTTTCTTCCAAGATACTGACATTCACTTTGCAAGTTCTGATGTTCATTTGTAGGCACAGACAACTTCATGATTGCTACCTGGCCAAAAGTGATTGTGAAATGCATCTTGATACCAGAGTTGTTAAAGTGTGAAAAAGATTTCTAAGATGAAAGTTTTTTTATGTGCTAAAAATGTGCATCGTCAAACTGATAAAGCATAGTAATTCATCATAATTGATAAATGTGATAACATAAAAAACAAAATAATAAAGTTTATCTTTAGATTGTTATTCCAGTGACAATGATGGGACTATGTAAGATCAGTCACATTCCTACCTAGTCCTTTTTGTTATTAATTGACTGCATGTGTAAAATATGTAGCTGGTGTTACAAATGTAGTCTAACCCATGAAGAATTCCTGCCAAATAGATGTTCAATAACTGAATGAACAAGGTCCAAGACCAACATAATTGACCCATAACTGGACTAAATCAAGGCCTCTCAAGCACAGTGTTCTAGACCAGTGTTTAAACTTGAATGTGCATTCAAATTACCCAGAGGGCCTGTTAAAACACAGAGCACTGGGCCCCACCCCAGAGTTTCTGATGCAGTAGGTCTACAGTGGAGCCCATGAGTTTGCATTTCTAATAAATTCCCAGGTGATGGAGATGTTTCTAGTCCTGGGACTATACTTTGAGAACCATTGCTCCAGACTAAAAGAAATACCTAATCAGTTATAAACAAGAAAATAAATAGATTGGTAATGAAGTACAGTCTTTTTTCGAGATGGGGGTCTCACCATGTTGGCCAGGCTGTTCTTTAATTCCTGGGGTTTAAGTGATCCTACTGCTTCAGTTTCCCAAGTAGCTGAGATTACAGGTGTGCACCACCATGCCCGGTTAATATAGTCTTAATAGATGAAACCAGACCTATAAGAATTGCTAGACTTGGCTGGGCACGGTGGTACATGCCTGTAATCCCAGCACTTTGGGAGGCTGAGGCTGGAGGATCGCTTGAGGCCAGGAGTTGGCGACCAGCCTAGGCAACATGGCAAGTCCCTGTCTCTACAAAAGAAAAAAAAAAAATTAGCCAGGCATGGTAATGCAGGCCTGTAGTCCCAGCTACTTGGGAAGCTGAGGCAGGAGGATCGCTTGAGCCCAGGAGTCTGGGGCTGCAGTGAGTTATGATCACGCCACTGCACTCCAGCTTGGGTGACAAAGAGAGACTCTGTCTCGAAAAAAAAAAAAAAAGAATTGCTAGACTCTTAACACTGAAAGCCAACAGAAATAATACTTCATGCTTTGAAGAACATACTGATTCCAGGCTAGATTTCCATCAAATGTATAAGGAATTTTAATTATTTACTCAAATATCATGCGTATCATGTCTGAATAATCACAAATTTTACTTTACCAAGGTTCAATCTGGTGAAGTTTCACCACACACAAGAGCTACACTTTCTCCATCCCCATCTACCTTACCCATTGCACCCTATTCACACCTAAGAAAAATTTATACTACAAATGACTTCTATACAAAGTCTATACAGAACTAAATTTGGTTTAACCATAATATAAATTTTATTTCTTCCTTTTTAATCTTACAAACTATTATCTAGAAAGGTTTTCTTACTCACTAAAAATACTGAAATGATAGTCTGTATCCCAGTATTAAATTTGATGAAGCATGAAAACATACTGAGGAAAGCAGTAAAAATGTCAATCTTTTAAGAAATTAAAACCCAGCTAAACCTGCTGGCCAAATCTGGGAAAATTTGAGCATCAAAATGAATGACAGGAATGTTTTGGAACATACTGAATAAACAAATAATATACATGGATGGTGGTTTTTTAAAAGGAATGAGGCAGGCAGAAAGAAAAGGTCTTCTTTACAGAGAATAACAACTAACAAATTAGAAAGAATAAAAGAAACAGAAAGTCACCATTTTTAGGCAAGAACCATCAATGGATACTAAACCTCAATATGAAAGACTATTGGGAAACAGGATATTCACACAGTCTCAGACTATCATCCCACAGATTACTTATTAATTTATTTTAATTAATTGATTAATAATTAAGGAGGGAAGGTATTTTCAAAATGAAAAAATCTGGCTGCTACCACCTTAATTAAATGATCAAATTTAACATCACTAATAATGGGATTAATTGATAATACATGCCTCCCTGACGTGATGCACTGAGGAAAATACTACATCATGTATGTTTTATTCCTGCCAAAATGTTTAACTTGGATCTAATCATGACGAAACAATTAAGCAAATACACACTGAGGAACATTCTACAACCTGGGGTCTTCAAAAATGTCCTCGTAGAAGACAAACAAAAGACTAGGGAACTATTCTACATTAAAGAAGACTAAAAAGACATAACAAGAAAAATGTAATGTATGATTCTTGATTGGATTCTAGATTTTAAAAAGAAATAGCTATAAAAGAAATTATTGAGACAATTATAAAAATTTGAATAAAATTTGTATATTACGGTCGGGCGCGGTGGCTCACTCCTGTAATCCTGGCACTCTGGGAGGCCGAGGCGGGCGGATTGTTTGAGCTCAGGAGTTCAAGACCAGCCTGAGCAAGAGCGAGATCCCGTCTCTACCAAAAATAGAAAGAAATTAATTGGACAGCTAAAAATATATAGAAAAATTAGCCAGGCATGGTGGCACATGCCTGTAGTCCCAGTTACTCGGGAGGCTGAGGCAGTAGGATTGCTTGAGCCCAGGAGTTTGAGGTTGCTGTGAGCTAGGCTGATGCCACGGCACTCTAGCCCGGGCAACAAAGTGAGACTCTGTTTCAAAAAAAAAAAAAAAAATTTGTATATTAGATGACAGAATACTGTATCATTATTAAATTTCCTGAGTGTGATAATTGGATTGTGGTTATGTAGGAGACTGACAGCTTTCTTTGGAGATGCATGCTGAAGTATTTAGGCATGAAGTGTCATGATTTCTGCAACTAACTCTCAAATGCTTAAGAAAAATATGTTTGGGTGGGGTATAGTAGCTCATGCCTGTAATCCCAGCACTTTGGGAAGCTGAGGCAGGAGGATGGCTTGAGGCCAGGAGTTTGAGACCAGCCTGAGCAACATGGTGAGACTCCATCTCTACCCAAAACAGAAAAAATTAGCCAGGCATCGTGGTGTGTGCCTGTAGTTCCAGCTATTCAGGAGGCTGAGGTGGGAGGATCACTTGAGCCCAGGAGTTTGAGGTTGCAGTGAGGTATGATGCCACTGCACTATAGCAATAAAGTGAGACTCTGTCTCAAAAAAAAAAAAAAAAGAAGAAGAAGAAGAAAAAATATGTTTATGTATGTAGAGAGAGAGAAAGATAAAGCTAATGTGATCAAAATGTGAACACTTGGACAATCTAGGTGGAATGTATATGGGTAGTTCAACGTACTCTTCTGTGAACTTCTCAAAATAAAAAGTTGGGAGAAAAAAGGAAAACTAAAGACATTGAAAGTCCACAGATTTAAATTATGTAAATCAAAATACTGAAGAAGGTCCGTTAGAGGAACACCCAACCACCAGACTTGCCCCTTTACCTGCTGTGTTCAAACATCGATGCAGGGGAGCCAGCACTGGCTGAAGCAAATACTTTGCTGCCAATTGTGGGCGTTCTCTCGACATAGTTAGAAAGGTGGTGGTGGCAACTCTCTGAAACTGACGTGCTGTCAATTTATCTTGAAAGTGAAATAAATCCAGAATCTACAAGAAAAACTACATGACGTAAATACCATGCTCTTTGCAAGGAACATGACATTAGCTAAAAAGGAAAAGCATTAATTTTTTTAAGCCAAAAAATAAACTCAGTGCAATAACACTGATTTGACAGAATTGTTTTTTAACTTTAACAACCCAGTATCAAAGGGTAGGAGAGCTAATGAGGTGGTGTTTTATTAAATAATGTTATCACATTTACAAAATACATGTTCATTATAGATAATTGGAAAACAAAGTTTTAAGAAGAAAACTAAAATCTTCCCAAATCACTACAAACATTTTTGGTATGTTTTTTTCTAACATATATATTTTCTGTATAATTTTTTTTTCTTTTTTAATTAAGACCACACAATTCTCAGTTTTGTATATTGCTGAAAATTTCTCATAGTGCTATAAATTCCTCAAAAACTATTATATTTGACCCGTAAAGATTTATTATTCCCTAACTTCCAGACATTCAGTTTTTGTTTTTTTTTTTTTTGAGACAGAGTCTCGCTTTGTTGCCTGGGCTAGAGTGAGTGCCGTGGTGTCAACCAAGCTCACAGCAACCTCAAACTACTGGACTCAAGCAATCCTTCTGCCTCAGCCTCCCGAGTAGCTGGGACTACAGGCATGCGCCACCATGCCTGGCTAATTTTTTCTGTATATATATATTTTTAGTTTTCCAGCTAATTTCTTTCTATTTTTTATTAGAGACGGGGTCTCGCTCTTGCTCAGGCTGATCTCGAACTCCTGACCTTGAGCGATCCACCTGCCTCGGCCTCCCAGAGTGCTAGGATTACAGGCGTGAGCCACAGCACCCGGCCCAGACATTCAGTTTTTAATTCTAATTTGTTTTAATTCAGTTTTTTTCCCCTAATTTTGCTATTAGAAATAGCACTGCCAAATGAAATTACTGGCTCAAGGCATATAAATATACTTGGAATCTGAGGAGTCTGCTGTGTCTGAAATATCTCAGACAAGAATCTATTTTATTCACAAAAATAAACATTTATCCTCAGTGCTTGCGAGTGGGCAACCCCAGTATTATTATAATAGCAGCTAGTAAAAGAGTTCATTTCTGATTGCTGACTTAAAAGTGAATCTTGTACTTTTTGCAGACAAGAGAATCTTCTGCCTAAAAACAGTATGTGACACTGGATGCTGCCAAAGATTCAGCAAGCCTGAAACCTGTGATTTAATTTTATCATTTTGTTTCAGGCGTGAAGTGTCATGATGTCTGCAACTAACTCTCAAATGCTTAAGAAAAAATATGTTTGGGCGGGGCATAGTAGCTCATGCCTGTAATCCCAGCACTATCGGTTTTAAATAATACTCATCATTCCAAGTGATAAATATATTTAGCATTTTTCAGTATAAGATCTTTGCATTGTGATATTTTGTTCCCATCCATTCTTCAGCCTGTGCTCCAAGAGATATATCTTACATCTAAATTCATAGGGAGTAATGATTAAAAAACTCCTTCCACATTTTTCATCTATCGGATTAGTAAAAATCAAAAAGTTTTGTAATAGACTGTGTAGGCAAAAGTGTGGGAAAACAGGTACATAAACTATATCAATCAAAAATGTAAATGCACGTGCCCTTTGAACCAGTCATTTCAACTTTAGGAATCTTTCCTATTGTAATACTTGCAGGTGTGCACAAAGATTTATGGATATTAACTGTAGTATAATTTGTAACAGCCAAAAAATGGAAACAACTCCAATGTCCATCAACAGCAGATTGGTAAAATAAATTATGGTACATTAATATGATGAAATACTATGTACCCATGAAAATGAACGAGTAACCCTACATGAAATGGCTCTACATGAAGTGATCTCCAAAGTACGTTGTTAAGTGAAAAAAGCAAAATGAAAAACAATGTGTGCAGCATTTTATCATATGGATAAAAATTAGCATATATACATGCATGCATTCACATATACACATATAATGGCATATGCATAATGCAAGAATATCTCCAGAAAATAAACAAAACAGATACCAGTGACTGCTTGTGAGGGACCAGAGAACAGGGATAGGAGGGAGACTTACTTTTCAGTTACTCTTTTGTGCTTTTATTTATTTACTTATTTTTTTGAGACAGAGTCTCACTCTGTTGCCCGGGCTAGAGTGCCGTGGCATCAGCCTAGCTCACAGCAACCTCAAACTCCTGGGCTCATGCGATCCTCCTGCCTCAGCCTCCCGAGTAGCTGAGACTACAGGCATGTGCCACCATGCCCGGCTAATTTTTTCCATATATTTTTATCTGTGCAATTAATTTCTTTCTATTTTTTTAGTAGAGACTCTCGCTCTTGCTCAGGCTGGTCTCAAACTCCTGAGCTTAAACGATCCGCCTGCCTCGGCCTCCCAGAGTGCTAGGATTATAGGCGTGAGCCACCACGCCCGGCACTTTTTTTTAAATGGTGTACCATGTTAATATACCTTGTTTATTTTATTTTTTTTTGTTTTAGAGACAGGGCTTGCTCTGCTGTGCAGGCTGGACCGCAGTGGTGCGATCATAGCTCACTGCAACCTTGTACTCCTGGCCTCAACTGATCCTCTTGCCTCAGCCTCCCGAGTAGCTGGGACTACAGGCACACGCCACCACACCTGGCTAATTTTTCACTCTGTTTATTAAATACCTACTTTAAAAAACTAATTAAAAACACACAGAGAGAAAAAACAGTCAGGTTTTTATTCACTTATTTAGGATGTTCCTCACTGAACAATAAATATTATACTGCTTTTACCTCAATATTAGAGGAACATTAAAAGCCCTCTTTCAGTAAATAAGCAGATAATACTCAAATGGTCAAAGGAAACAAACAATTTACCTGGGGGCAGATGTCCCTGTAGTAACTTTCTGGTGAGAGAGACTGTTGGGGACAAGAGGCCAAAATCTTTGCTATCTGGTCACACTTCTTCCAGTCGGCAGCCGTCGCCTCAGCATCACGTCCTCCGGCTGCCCCCGCTGGCACAATGGAGAGAGATTCAGAAACTCATGGCAGTGCCCCATAGAAGGTCCCCTCTGATAAATCCGCCTTAAAATTTAGGGTCAAGAGCATTTCTTTTCTCTATTTAAAATAGTTTATTTTTTCTATAAGATAATCTATGCCTCCATACTTTCCTTTTGATGCTGGTTTCTAGGTAGTTCAGAGAAAAACTAGCATTTAATCATCGTAATGATATTATTCATATGACTTGAATACTAGCTTCTCAGTGGTTATTATTATTACTATCATTATTCTGTTTCCTTAGATGCATCCTTTCATTTAAACTGCCTTAAACCACAGCCATAGAGTGACAGGGACCAAATTTACCCTACCATCTTAAATAATTATAAAACTGGAGAAAACATATAAACAATGTTTTTCAGACACTGGACAACAGGCAGCCCAGGGCACTGATCCCTGAGAGAAGGGCAATAAACAAGGTGAGCCCTGTGACTGCCCTAGCTCACCACCTGGAGACAGTTTTCAGGCCACAGCACACCAAGAGTAGCCCAAATGAAGCCGAGCTTCTTGTTGAGTTGAAGAAACATAGTTCAGAGTTCAGGGAGGCCAAGGCAGCTAGAATTTTCAGGGCAAGATACCAGAGAGGAGGAAGTTACAGAGAGAGTTCCAAAGATCTGTAGGAGGGTCTTCTCTCAAGTCTTTGGTAGAGTGTGATCTGTGTATGTGTGAGAGCAAACACCCAAGACTGGGGCAAGAACCACTAGAAAGGAGTAGATGGAACATCTCCCAGAGTTTATAAAGGGCTGGGAAGAGTTTGTGTTCCCACCAGCCAGCATGGGAAGACCTCCTAATATACAGGGTATCAAGTAGAATCTTCAAAAGCGTATTGCCTTAGTAGTGGGGCCAAAGGTTATTCTAGAACCACACTAACAAAGCTGAATAGCCAGGATCAAAGGGATCAAACTGATTCCAAGTAACTTAACTGTATTCCAGAACAAAGCCAAACTAAGGATCCAACAAAATCTAGCACCTAACAATGTAAAATAAAAATGTCCAGCTGGTTTCCAACTCCTGGCCTCAAGTACCCTCCCACCTGGGCCTCCCAAAGTGCTGGAATTATAGGCATGAGCCACCACGCCCAGCCTGCCTAAACTTTCTTTGACATTTCTTATAGTGCAGGTCTGCTGGTAGTTCATTCTTTAAACTTTTGTTTGTCTCGAAAAGTCTTTACCTTCCTTTTTAAAAAATACATATCAGATCTTGCAGGGATGAATCACCTCCCTTTTTTTTTAAATTAGCGAGACCCCATTTCTACAAAATAATTTTTTTTTTTTTGTCCCCACCCCTGAGTCCTACAAAAAACTTTTTAAAAAAATTAGCCAGGCATGGTGGTGGCACATGCCTGTAGTCCCAGCTCCTTGGGAGGCTGAGGCAGGAGGATCACTTGAACCCAGGAGTTGGAGGTTACGGGGAGCTATGATTGTGCCACTGAACTCTAGCCAAGGCAACAGAGTGAGACCCAAAAAAAGAAGAAAAAAAAATGAAAGTCCAGGCAGAAGGACATTGGATTGAAATTTACATCTATACAAAGAAATGAAGAGCACCAGAAATGGCAAATATGTAGGTAAATATAAAGTGCCTCAAACTATTTTGGGAAAGAAACACGACATGAATAGATAACAACAAATATATACATGCACCAGTAGCGGGGAAATAGGGTTCTAATCTTCTTATAACAGCTCTGTAATCTGCTGGATTGGGCGAAGTTTTTTTGACTTCCTTCTTCAGAAAAGGAAGATGCAAAGCCCAATTTGTATGCAACAGCTTCTCACAGATAACTGATAATTTCTCGTTTCACTGGCCCTAGAAGCCACTGCAGGCAGAACTGAGGGGAGGCCACACTGCAGCCACTCTCGACCAAATCTGCCAACATCTGCCAACCACACTGGCAGGACGAAGGTACATTAACTATGCCAGAAATGAAGTCAAGATTGATCTTCTTTCTCCATTCCTCTTTCCCACATACCTAGCCCTTCATTAAGTTCTGGGAACTCTCCCCCTTAAATATATTTCAAGTCCATTCATGTCTCTCCATTTCCACAGCTACCGCACTGATCCACGCCCCTGTGATCTCAGATGACTGCTTCCTAACTGATCTCCCTGCTTCTGCTCTTACCTACCCAGTCTTTGCAACATATCCAGAGAGATATTTCTAAAATGTAGATTTGATCAAGTCTCTCTTCTTCTTAAAGCCTCTCACTGGGTTCTCATTTCCCTCAGAATAAAGCTCGAAATCTGAAATGGGCCCCGAAGGCCTCCCTGATGTGGCCCCTGCCCAGCCCTCCCCAGTACACACCACTCCCCCTCCACTCCGCCCTCACTGCTCTAGCCCTGCAGAAATGTCCTCAGAAGCAGGAAGCTCACTCCTACTGCAGCTCCTCATATGTGCTACTCTCCCTGCCTGTAATCCTCTTCCCTCACTCTTCAGCTGGCAAATTCCAACTTAGCCTCTCGGGCTCAGTTTAAATGTCATTGCCATCAAAAAGTTTGTGGTAAGTGGTTACGGCAGCAAGAGGAAACTAACAAGGCATGGGATATGGAGATAAGGGACTGAACACAGAAGAAAAGCAAAGGGGTCACCAGTATAAAGGTGAAGGGGACCTAGGATGACAGCTGCGTAGAAGGTAACTAGTCTAGATTAGAGCAATTCAGAAGACCCAGAGAGAAATGTCTCCAAAAAGATAAAACTGATAGAATATCTGATGTATCTGAATGTATTAAGAAGAGACTTAAACAAAAGAGGAAGAGTTTGAGAATGGATTAGTGATAAGTACATAGAAAACTAAAAAGACAAACAAAGATTAACTCCAGGAAGTACAAAAGATGGTGTGAAAAAAGAAAAGTAATCTTAGTATACTACATAGCACAGCTGTAAATAACAATTACATAGTTAAACCAATATAAACAGGGGCGATCTAACCAAAATTAAGATACAACTATATTAAGGGGGTGGGAGGATGGGAAGCACGCGAGGGGGAATGATGGCAGGGTTGTGAAAAAGAACAAAATCCTCTTCCACACATAGTGACAAATTAATATACGACGCTTAAAACTGAAAAATTAAGAAGTTGCTGTATATTATAGTTAGAAATATAGAGGTAAATATAATATCATTCTTGCCTGATGTCTGTTAAAAGAATATATAAATTATAAGAAAAAATATATATAATATCAGAAGAAACATGCTAAAAGAGTTGAAAGTGCTTGCTTCTGGAAATGGGAAATGGATTGGAATGCTGCCAAGGACTGCTATTTTTCACTAGAAGCTTTGTAGAGCTATTTGACTCTTTAGTCTATGTGCATGTCTAATTTTGTTTTGAATATCAAAAAATATAAATTAAAAACTACCTCCATGCTTAGCATGATAATTAACATTTTTTTCTATTAATAAGGATATTATTAATAATTGGGGAAATGACTCTCAAGCTTTATCTCAAAGTTGCGTCTCCAGCTTCAAGAAAACTATTTTATATTTCGCATTTTCTTTAGGGTTTTTACTTCAACTTTCTGTGCGATGCTTTCCTCTGAAAGTATAAATTATTTGAAATGCCTTACAATATTACTCAACAAGATGAGCAGTGTCTCACAACTATTTTAGAAAAATAGCAAGAGAATGAGTTTCTTTGGAAAAGAAGCTCCTTGCAGGCCTCCAAGTTTAACCTCCTCAAGCTCTGCAAAGACATAGTTTAGTTTCAGTCAGGTAGATACTAAACACCAGTAATTCACCTCAGACTCTGACTCAAAGGAAAACGATACCAACGTAACAGAAACATTTTCTTTCTTACCACCTGCTCCTTCCAAAATACCCCGGACCACTGCCTGAACACCACTGGGTCTCATTAACCTTTCCGAGAGCAGCTGCCCACATAGACGCCGAAGCCAAGCTGGCGCCCGACACTTGACCTGTGTCTTCGCATCGGTGCAGGACTGAAAAAAGGAAGAAGAAGGTATGAATTCTGAATGTCAGTGAAATAGATATGATACATAGATGTTATTTTAAGAAACTACTGAGTCATACTGACAACTAACAGTGTGCTATTCAGACTTCAAAAGAGCAACATTTTTTCCTTTTTTTAAAAAAAATCCTCCTTTACAAAATGTTCTTTAGCATTACTTTTAAGAAAGTAGAAATACAGTGAAGAATCAGTGAAGTTTCAAACTCAGACTATCCTGAGCAAGAGGGAAACACTCTCTCTATAAAAAATAGAAAAAATTATCCGGGCGTAGTGGTGCGCGCCTGTAGTCCCAGCTATTCGGGAAGCTGAGGCAGGAGAATTGCTTGAGTCTAGGAATTTGAGGTTACAGTGAACTGTGATGATGCCACTACACTTTAGTGGGGCAACAAAGTGAGTCTCTGTCTCAAAAAAACAAAAAAAAAAAGAAAGAAAGAAATAGACAAACACATCAGTGAATAAAATGAAGATCTTGAGACCACAAACTTAATGCAACCAATCTCTGAATGCAGTACTGCCAATCAAATCCAGCTTCCAAAGAAGAATCTTATAAATGGGCGATTCACAATAATGAGGGAGCACTCCAGCCCTTGCCTCTGTGAGTCAGATTCCTTCAAGGGCTCCTATTTGAAAGATCTGTGGAGCCACCACTAACAAAAGAGACTTCTTGTTCCTTATTTTGGGCTAGAACATTAATCATGTTGCTGTCAACAATTGTACTTAACTATATAAGCATCAAAATTAGTGGCAGAAATATTTAACCCTAACTTGCCTGTCCTCTCTCTTTCACTTGAGGATTAATAATCACCATTGATTGAGAGGGTTATAATGTGCCAGGCACTGTACTAAGTACCTCCCACATAATCTCAAAAGGGACTTACAAGGGGCACTGTGATTAACCCCATTTTATGTATAAGGAACCTGAGGAATGCAGTTTACAGACTCACATCTGCATGCTGGGCTTGAATCCTGGTGTGCTGAACCCCAGGACCTCTGGTTTTCACCATGCTCTTAGAATACATTCAGTTTAATCTGGCAAACTGTGGACTCATTCATAGAAGCAGAATGTGAGGCCAGAGAGGTCTAATGGAAGGTTCCAGTAAGATTCCAGGAATGAGATGAAAATGACTCCGCTAGGAGATGTCTTTGTAGCCAGCTTCAGCTGGTCCTTGTTCCTGACCTACAGCAATTCCTTTGGCTCCCTACTCTTTACACACCTAGATTCATAACTAAAATTTAGGTACTAAAAGCAAACAGATCATTCCATCTAAAGCATCAAATTAAATCATTTTAGATAATTATTTTTAAGGAAAAAGAGAAACTATCTTATGCCTAGCAGCATATATACATACTATGTTTTCCAAACAAAGGAGCAAAGAATAGAACCAATAATAGCTCTTCCAATTTCTTGACTTTAAATACATTCTATTCAAAGAATAAGGTGCCCAAATACTTCTGCCAAAAGAACATATTGCCAAACAGCCAAATTTTAGTTTAAAAAAATATTCAGTTTCTGAATGAATAAAATATATCATATATAAAATTGCCATAAGCCTTAAAAAAAGTGATCACAATATTTCTGAGAGAAGTATCCATTATTCTATTAAAGAAAAGGTCTTTTAAATTATCCTAAGCATCAGTGTCACTTAGTTTTATAAATACCATTGAATGATCTAAAAGATGAAATAAGGCTCAACTATTAATAGATTGTTAAATTGGGAACTAAAGCTGCCTAATTTTCCAGGAGAAGACAGGCCAGCACACGTTATCGTTAATGATCCACCCACAAGAGTCCCGGGGTCTGAATACCTGGGGTGGTCCTCCCTGGAGGATAAGTAATTCTCGGACTGCTAAGGGCTGATACACTTGATCCAACATGTCTCTCAAGGCCTCCGCGGATAGGGTTCTTTCCTCTTCAGTTAAAACCTAAAACACATATGCACTTGGCTTTAGTGTAATACAAACCAGGCAGGCAATAGAAAGTAATGTTTTCCAACAGTGTACAAAGATGCTTGTGAGGGGAGAGGAAGGCGGGCTTCTATCCTCTCTTGATTTCCTTTCACATGGACGAAACTGTGCTACCATAATAAAACAGCCCTGGCTCTTTCTCCATCCCTCACTCACTCCACTTCTAGGCAGGTTGTGTGATTCATCTTATTGGTGAGCATGGAATAAACTCACTTATTGAACAGTTTTGGCACACACTGCTCAGCTCATTCCTCTTCTTTGGGGAGTGGGTACACGTTCTGTTCTGTTCTTCCTTGCTGTGTATTTGACAGAGGCCTATCCCCTGCTACGGGGCAGAAGGCGCTGCAGTTTTCCAGCACTCCTTCAACTGGGTGAGTAGTGAGAGTGTCTGATTTCGGAGAGCACTTTTAGGAAGATCTGCTTCCATCTATGAGCTGCACCCTCCAACTTTGCCTTTATGAGCAACAGAGGTAACATTTCGACTTTTCATCTCTCTCACTCTGTTAACTGTCTTTTAATTCATTCGGAGCTTGGGCAACAAAAAGGGGTGCTATTTGGGAGGCACCCTGGAGCCCCAACAGTGCTGTGCCCTTTGGTAATTACTACTCGCAGTCATTCAGGGTCCTGCCCGTTACCACTTCACGCACTGAGGTAAGGGTGCTACTCAGAGCAGCAGTTACTGGTGGCACTTTATCCAGCTTCGTAACACACACCCATCATGTTTCCCCTTCTCTCAACTCTTTCTCCCACTTTCCTACTTGGTTCTTTCTGTGTGTTTACCTTGTCTTTTCTCTCTCCTGCCTAAGACCCCCGGGGCACTGCTCAGCCTCAGTAACAGTACTATGACCTGTCAACCCAGATCCCCCCACCTTAGGGAAGTGCAGGCAGCAGGCGATGCTAGAACTGTCAAGACACACAGCCCTGTAGGAGGGAGGACATGTTCTGCTGCTATAACATAAAGGCACTGCGGGAGCTCATAATTTCATGCCACTGCTTAGGTGGTAATGGCTTTCAGGAAATGGTTTATGAACACAGGCAGGAGAGTGAATAGAAAAGGAGAACAAACAGAAAAGGGTGACAGAGGAATGAGGGCATTGTGAGACCTGGCTGTGTTGACTAAGGAATCACCCTGCATAGGAGCCACACTCACCTCTGATGCATTTATGTCTTAACCCCTTCTTCTGGTTAGTTCCTACGCTGATGCCAGTGGTCCTGCTATGCAGGGGGGTAGGTATGGGTTCCTGCTATGTCATACTTGTAAGTCCTAACTCCCCAGTCAGTGTGTGAGTTATGTGAAGAAAAGGACCATGTCTTATGTTGCTGTAACCTCCACAGCAACTTCTGTAGTCCAGGAACTCGACTGCTTACTGAGTGACAGCAAAAAACAGGCATATACTCCCAACACCTAAAAATAACAATGCACACTGAGTTATGCAGTGTACCAGGTACTCTACATACCTTACCTCACTTTAATCCTCCCAAGAACTTAATGAAGGAGATATGGATGGTTTGATACTAATATTAGTGGTAATTACTTTTTGATAAGCACTATTAGGGATTAGGTTGAATATCTTATACACATTATCCTTAATCCTCACAACCATCTTCCAAGGCAGGTATTAATATACACATTTTATTAAAGAAGAAACAGAGACTCAAAGAAATAACCTACAATAGCTGTTCTACAAAATGATAAGGAACAGGTGAAATGAACTTTCCAGGTGTGCAGAGGACTAGCATCCAACAAATGAAACGTGCAACCCCCAAAAATAAGATTCATCTACCCATTGGATGTACTTTGGCATTCAACAGACATTGTAGATCTTTCAATCAGCCCTCTTCCAAAGAACTAAGAATTATCTTTATAACAAGCATGCACAAATATATGCACATACTCACACACGCATACACACACAGTCTCTTTCTCTCTCAATGTAGAGGTACCTCTTTCGCAGGTGTTAGTGCTTTTCTTTTGGTTGGGCAGAATCCCAGTTGGCACAGACCTGCTGCAATGTCCCCGAAATGGCGGCAGAAAATCAAGCTCCCCAGAGACGTGTGCTGAGCAACATTCAGAAGGACCCGGCAGCTGGTGTACAGTCTCCGAGTTGCATCAGGGGCAGCATTGAGATGTACCACGTCTTGGACAACGGCACCAAACTCAGTCCTGAATCTCAAGGGGACTCCAACACCAGGCATGAGATAGGGACAGACACCTAAGGTGACTACAAACTGCAAAACGGACTGGACAGTCTTCTGCTGTGAGATGCTAAGTGCATCGGGGCTCAAGGCAGGAGCAACTTCTGGAGTCCTAGGGTTGGGTTTACCTGGATGGAAATCAGCTGCAAGGCGGATCATGGTTTCCTTCAAGCACAGTAGCAACAACAAGGTTTGAGAAGTAAAATTCCAAGTGACATCCTCAGAGTTTTGTGGCCACTCTGCCTTATTGGCAATTTCATCTCTTAGAAGTTTCAGTTTCTTCCACTGAGGATCCTTCAGAAACTTGTCCTCCAAAGCAGACAGGTTAGATTTTAAAGTAGCCAACAAGACATCATGTTTTGTGATCTGTAGTGAACTTGAGTCTGATCCTTTTAAAGGAAAAAAAGGTCTTTTAAATTTATTTTATTATACAAATGGAACACAAACTGTACTTCCCTCCGAGTGAATGCCTTGCCCACTCGGTCCATCCCCTGAGGCCTGGCTCAGCTGTCACTGGCTCTGGAAAGTTTATCTTGTCTGCTTCCATTCCCCATGTATTTTGAGAGCAGAGACTCCCAAAATTTGTATTTTCAACAGATACCTATTTTCCCACAGGCTATGTTCTCTGATCACAATGGTATTAGAACAGAAAGCATTAACAACAAAATATCCAGAAAGCCTCAAATGTTTAGAAATTAAACAGTATACTTCTAAATAATCTACAGATCAAAAAAGAAATTGCAAGAGGAGCAGGAAGGATTTCAAACTAAATGCTAACGAAAAACATCAAAATTTATGAGATACCACTAAAGCAGTGCTTAGAGAGAAATTTATAGCTGTAAAACTTACATTTGAAAAGAAGAAAGGTTTAAAGCATAACTGGGGAAATTTATGAACATTATGCTAAAAATTCAACAATGTAGATGAAATGAAAAAATTCCTTGAAAAATACAACTTACCAAAACTGTCATAAGACAGAATAGGACATCTAAATAGCCCTATATCTATTAGAGAAATTAAATTTGTTATCTAAATATCTTCCAAGAAATAAAACTCCAGGCCTGGATGGTCTCACTGGTGAACGATTTAAGGAAGAAATAACATCAATGTTACACAAACTCTTTCAGAAAATAAAAGACAAGGAAATGCTTCTCTATTTTAAGAAGTCAACAGAACCCTGATACCAAAACCTGACCCTAAAAAAAATCACAAAAAAGAAAATTACTTATTAATATCCCTCATGAACCTAAACTTAAAAAGCCTTAACAGTATAGATAGCAAATAATCATATGAAAAGATGCCCAATATCATAAGTCATTAGGGAATTGCAAATTAAAACAATGAGGACAGGCGTGGTGGCTCACACCTGTAATTCTAGCACTCTGGGAGGCCAATGCAGGAGGATCGCTTGAGCTCAGGAGTTCGAGACCAGCCTGAGCAAGAGTGAGACCCCGTCTCTACTGAAAATAGAAAAAAATTAGGCAGCATGATGGCATGCACCTGTAGTCCCAGCTATCAGGAGGCTGAGGCAGGAGGATTGCTTGAGCCCAGGAGTTTGAGGTTGCTGTGAGATAGGCTGATGCCACTGCACTCTAGCCCAGGCAACAGAACAGAGAGAGATCCTGTCTCAAAAAAAAAAAATCAAAATTGAGATACCACCACACACCTACTAGGATGGCCAAAATCCAGGACACTGAGAACACTATATGCTAGTGAAGATGTGGAGCAACAGGAACTCTCATTCACTGCTGGTGGGAATGCAGAGTGATATAGTCACTTTGGAAGACAGTCTGGCAGTTTCTTAAAAAGCTAAACATATGATCTAGCAATTCTACTCCTAGGTATTCATCCAAATGAGTTGTAAACTTATGGCCACACAAAAAACTGCATATGTATGTTTCTAGCAGCTTTATTCATAATCGCCAAAAACTGGAAGCAATCAAGATGTCCTTCAAAAGGTGAATAAATTTTTAAAAAAGACAACATAGTGAACGGATAAATAAACTGTGCTGCATCCAGATAACAGAATATTATTCAGTGATAAAAAGAAATGAACTATCAAGCTACAAAAAGACATGGAGGAATCTTTTTTCTATTTTTAGTAGAGATGGGGGTCTCACTCTTCCTCAGGCTGGTCTTGAACTCCTGACCTCAAGCAATCCTCCCACCTCAGCCTCCTAGAGCACTACAATTACAGGCATGAGCCACTGCTCCTGGCCGACAAAGATTTTTTATAACATAAAAAGCATAAAACATAAGGGAAAAAAATTGGACTTCATCAAAATTTAAAACTTCCCTTCAAAAGATACAATTCAAGAGCCAGGCATGGTGATGCACACCTATCATCCCAGCTACTCAGGAGACTGAGGCAGGAGGATCGCTTGAGCCCAGGAATTCAAGTCCAGCCTGGACAACACAACGAAAATAGCAAGACCCTGTCTCTAAAAAAAAGAGAGAGAAAAGATACAATTCTAAAAATGAAAAGGCAAGCCACGGATTAGGAGATATATATGACAAACAAATTGATTCAGAATATACCAAGAATACTGGCCGGGCACAATGGCTCATGCCTACAATCCTAGCACTCTGGGAGGCCAAGGTGGGAGGATAGCTTGAGCTCAGGAGTTCAAGACCAGCCCGGGCAAGAGTGAGATCCCATCTCTACCTAAAATAGAAAAAATTAGCCAGGCGTGGTGGCGCATGCCTGTAGTCCCAGCTACTCAAGAGGCTGAGGCAGGAGGATCACTTGAGCCCAAGAGTTTGAGGTTGTTGTAAGCTAGGCTGACAACACAGCACTGTAGTCCAGGTGACAAAGCGAGACTGTCTCCAAAAAGAAAAAAAAAAAAAAAAAAACGCATAAAGCTCAATAAGACAAGCCAATAAAAAATGGACAAATTATTTCAACAGACCCTTTAGAAAGAAAGATATTCAAATGACCAACTGCATATGAAAAGATGCTAAATATCATTAATTATCTGAGAAATGCAAATTAAAACCACAACGAGATACTGCTATACACACACACACCCCACAAAGGCTAAAATTTAAAAAGACTGACAATACCAAATGATGTAAAGCAACAAATACATTGTTGGTAGAAGTCTGGCATGATGAAAGCACAGTTGGTCTGGCAGTTTCTTATAAAACCACATATACACCTACCCTGTAATCTGGCAATTCTACTCCAACCATACTTACCCAAGAAAAAGAAATACATATGTTCACAACAAAGACTTGAACAGACAATACTAATCTATGAGGTAAAAAACCCAGGACCAGTTCCCTCTAGGGGAGCAAGAGTGGGGAATGATTGGGAAAGGGCAGGAAGGAACTTTCTCGGGTGATAGTAATGATCTGTATCTTGACAGAAGTTTGAATTACACAGGTATATGTATTTTTAAAATCCACTGAATGGTACACTGATTATATGTGCATTTCACTCTATGTAAATTTTACCCCCAAAAAATGAGTAAACCACAAAAAAGTCCAAATAAATGTTGAACTCTAGCGAATGTTATAATGCTGAAGTGTTTATGGGTAAGGTGTACTCTTACCTGCAACTCACTTTGAATGCATCAAGAAAAAGAGAATAAAAAAGAGGAATTGATGGATAAATGGATAAAATGTGATAAAGCAAATATAATAATACGTGAATTGTGGAATCTAAATGGTGTGTTTAAGGGTCCTCACTATACAATTCTTTCAACTTTTCTATTTGTTTATAAAACCGTAAGAAAAATGTTGAAAATATAAATAAGTACAAGAAGCAACAGACCTCAAAACTAAAGTTAATATACCTTCTAAGAAACAAATTAGAAGGAATCAAAATGTAATTGATGATAACTATGTTCAACACTGCATTGTTTATAACAGCATAAAATTAGAAATGTATATCCAATAACAGGGTTGGCTGAGTAAATTATGGTCTACTTGTATCCAACACACTATAGTTGTGAGGTACTTATTTTGTTTATTGTCTTTCCATCGACTAGAATAAAACCACCTTGAGAACAGGGATTTTGATTTGTTTTCTTCACTGCTGTAATTCTCTTTGCCTGGAACAAGGCCTGACACAGAGAAGCTGTTCCATAAATTGTTGTTGAATGAATGAATAATGGGTTATTTTGCAGCCATTGAACGATGTTGAACATTACTGAATGACGTTCATAATATATTCTAATGTGAACAGAGTATGAACAGAGTATGAGCAAAAGACACGAACAGTTTATAGAAAAAGAAATGCAAATGGCCCTTAAACATGAACATATGATCAATCTTGCTCATAATAAGAGAAAAGTAAATGAAAACTATACTGAAATATCACTTCCCATCTACCAAACTGGCTAAAATCCAAAGGTTTTATAACACATTCTTTGGCAAGTCTATGGGAAAACACACACTCTCATACATTGTTGGTAGGAACTAAAATGGTACATCCCTAAGGAGAGAAATTTGGCACTATCTAGCAAAATTACATAAGCATTTCTCTTTGGCCCAGCAATCCCACTTTTAGGAATCTATCTGATACAGACACAGGCAAAAATGCAAAATGACATATTTGCAAGCAAGACTCTGTCTCAAAAAAGATAAAATTAAATTAAAAAAATAAAAGTGATGAGCTCTGGATGATAGGCTTATGGGTCATTTTTCTTTTTTTGCTTAATTATATTTTTATATTTTTCTACATTAAACATGTATTGTTTCTATTCTAAAAGTTATTTTAAAGTTATAAAACAATATATAGTACATGAGTCCAATTTTTAAAAAAAGAAAAATAATATTTTCTAGATTGCCAGTAGTGGCAATCTCTGAGTAGTAAGATTGGGGTAATTTTAATTTTCTTCTTTGGTTTCTGGGTTTTGTTTTGTTTTGTTTTGGCCTTTACTATAGTAAACATTAACTACTTCTACTTTTAAAAAGGAACAATAACATTGTTCTTTACAAATAATGAGAATGAAAAGAGGGAGAATTTTGCACTACGTCTCCAGGACTTTCCAGGGCAAGTATTCTGACCACTGGCATGAATATCTGGTTCCTTTGGCTAATATATACCTCAGAAGGAAATGATGCTCTTATAGCTTGTTGCTACTAACCACTAAGATCACTAACCAGCCTCTGACTTCCTGTGACTTTATAACATCTTTGAACCCAAACTTGGGACACAAAGAAAGTGACTTAAAACAAAAGCTCTTAGTGAAGTTTTTCAAGAGCCCCTTTAATGAAGTAGTCTTCTCTGCCCTCTACTGGTGATGAAATAAAATCTACTTGAAAACAAATGGAGTCATTGCCTTAAAGCAGCAGCTCTCAAAGTGTAGTAGTACAGGGGCCTGGGTTGCCAGGGGGTTCCCAAGATCCTCTCCAGGAGTCTGCAAGGCCAAAACTATTTCATAATACAGAGTCAGGGCCAGGCGCAGTGGCTCACACCTGTAATCCCAGCGCTTTGGGAGGCCAAGACAGGAGGATTGCTTGAGCCCAGGAGTTGGAGACCAGCCTGAGCAAAAGCAAGACCTATCTCTACAAAAAAAATAGAAAAAGTTAACTGGGCATGGTGGCGCATGCCTGTAGTCCCAGCTACTCAGGAGGCTGAGGCAGGAGGATCACTTGAGCCCAGGAGTTTGAGGTTGCTGTGAGCTAGGCTGACACCACAGCACTCTAGCCCAGGCAACAGAGTAAGACTCCGTCTCAAAAAAAAAAGATCACTAGATCACTACACTATATTACACTATTCAACCTCAGAAAGTACCATCTAAAACTATCTGTATCACTTCGGGAAATACTTCCCACATCAACAATATTATCTATTCTTTCCAATCACCAATTTAAATGTCTAGGCTTTGTGACATTTAAAAGCAGACTCCACGACTTATGTGGCACTTATTAAGTTTAGGGAGTACTTTTTATTAAGTTTTTATTGTTTGCAAAGCAATATGGCATGCAAATACATGCTGTGTGATACAGCTTCATTATTTACATGTTATTGGGATTTTCAGCCCCTTCTCCCCCATGTAATTCAAATTTCATAACAAAGTTCAGTGAATCTATATATGGTATGGAAAGCTATTTTTTTAGCAAAACTATTGCTGAGATGGCTGGCATTTTTAATAAATAAAACTTCACTTTTTTTTTTGAGACAAGAGTCTCCTTCTGTCATCCCAGGTACAGTGCAGTGGCCTCATCATAGGTCCCTATAACCTCAAACTCCTGGGCTCAAGTGATCCCCCTGCCTCAGCCTCCTGAGTAGCTGGGACTACAGATGTGGCCCACCAAACCTGGCTAATTTTTCTATTTTTAGTAGAGACAGTGTCTCACTCTTGCTCAGGCTGGTCTGGAACACCTGAGGTCAAGCATTCCTCCCGCCGTGGCCTCCCAGAGTGCTAGGATTACAGAGGCCACTGAGCCTCTGTCCACCATGGACATCTGAGTACTCATTGTGTACAGGGATTTTTCAAATTCTCTCAGTAGTTAATACATAAAAGAAAACCGCAGGCAGATTCATACAATATATAATAGACATGTACAAAATAGTATAGTTTTACCATACTAAATTACTCTTTTTCAAATAGGAATGCTCGAATTCCCATAAATTCAGTGAGTACATGTATATAAGTCCACCACATACTCTTGGAGATTAGAGAGTCTTCTATAAATGAAGTACATTATATGTGCTTTGTGATAGATGATTACTTCCAGGTTTTTTTTCTTAATTTAATCTTGTTCTTGGTTGTGTTGTAGATAGTTGTAGTTGCTAAACAAGTGACCTCTTGATTAGCAAGTTAAAACTGTATTTTGCAGTTTGACCCTTAATTGGGGCAATGTATATTTACCATACTTTTAGTGGAAGAAACCTAAGTTCAAATTCTGCCATTTACTAGTCTGACATCTAGCAATTTCCGTTGAACCTGAGCCTTGGTTCCGTCATCAGTAAAAATGCAATACAAGTAATACCTATCTCATGGGATTGTTATGAGGATTAAACGATATAAACTTAAACAGCGTACAATGGGGACTGATACTTAGTAAGCACTCATTTACCTTTTTTTTTTTTTTAAAGAGACAAGAGTCTCCCTATGTAGTCCAGGCTGGCCTCAAACTCCTGGCCTCAGGTGATCCTCCTGCCTCAGCCTCCTGAGTGGCTGAGATTACAGATGCAAGCCACCCCACTTGGCTCATTTACTATTATTGATAATTTCTTTTCACTTCCTACTGGTGTGGTGTAAAGTCTGCAGGAATTTTAGCAGTTTGGGGTATATCTCAAAATTTGAGACTGGTAACATACCTCATGGCCTTTCATGTTCCCTTACCTTGCTAATCCTACAGATCTCTTCCCCCCAAATATACACGCCAATTATAAGTAGAACTCCATTACTCGTGTCCTTTCCCAAAGCTCCAGATAACATCAGAGACTCTATACTGAACAGTTTGCCTTAGTCCGAGAAGGGGGTTCACTAGATCTCGGTCCTAGGTCCATGTTCTGCCCCTAATTTGACCACATGATTCTGGGCAGGTTACTTAATCTCTTCAGTGAGCCACAGGTGTCCTCAGTTGTACAAGGAGCGTGATAGCCTCATCCACTCCCAATGCCCTTCAGATTCTAAATCCCTAGACAGTCTCCCTAAACCCAGTTTAACCGTCACTGCTTCCGATTTCTGGACTCCTTGCAATTTCGTATAAATTTCAAGCGTCCACCTTAACCCCTGCGCTTGGGAAGCCGTTGGGACCTCACTTCACACACATGACGGACGCCTAACCCTCTGTGAAAGGGTTTCCGCAGTCCCTGCCTAAGAGAGTTGCAGTAGCGGCTGAATGAAATAATGGCCCCAAGGCGCTTAACAGTGCCTGGCACAAGGCAAGCGCTCAAGAGATGGTGGCTACATCAGCATTCAACGGATCCCGTGCCCTTCGTGAGCCTCGGTTTCCTCAAGGATGAAATGAGGCTGAACAGACAATGCCCAAAGCCCCCCCAGCAGCGGGGCAGAGGTCCCAGAGAGGGCCCGAGGTGCGCACGCCGCGGGAGGAAGGACAGCCCTGGAAGCCTGGCGGCCCTGAGAGTCCCGGATCCAGCCCGGCGCCGAGATGTGTCCTCTCACCTCCCGGGCTCAGTAGCAGCTTCAACGCCTCCAAAATCCGATCCAGACTGCACGTCTCCAGAGCCCCGCTGCCCACAGCCTGTCCCGCGGCCGCCATGACTGGAGTGGAACTCGTCGCCTGCGACCAGCTCAGGCGCCTCAGGGGGCGGGCGCCGGCGCCATGTTGAGTGTGGCAGGAGGCGCCCGAGCGCACCTGGGCGGGGCCTGAGGTGGGGGCGGGGCCTACTCGGTTGGGAACGCCCCCTTCTCATCATAAATATTTTTTTCCGACCCCCTTTACTCGCCTGGTAGGGAAGAACCCCCAAAATAGCTAACACAACCTGTCTACACGAACAATTTCAGAAACTCAATATGATTAACTGCTATATTAAGGAGAAGGAAGATAGAAGTAGTTTATCATAAAATAATATGTATTTCAGTATGAAAATACTCGAGTACCAAACACTGGCAGACATAATGAAATAGATAGATGTTCGCACCTACTTATAGTGAAGTATGATTAAGTAAAACAACATTCAACGGAATATTCTTGAATTTCTTTATGTGACATTTAAAAATAAATACTAAATATAGACATATACACACATATATATCCATTGTGAATGTAATGGCTACAAATGTTACTATTGGTGATGCGATTTTTTTTTTAAATGGACTTAGTAAAATTCCCAGTAAAAGTTTGGTCTTTATTCTATTTACATGGTTGTTGCATTCCTGGAAATTCAGTGTGTATTAAAACCATGTTCCCCAAAATTGTGTACATGTAAAACAGAACGGGATTGAGATTCGGATCACCAGAAACAGGTTTTTCATCTACATAAATGCTGGCAGAATATTCAAAAGTTGTGTTGTCTGTAAGTCATGTTACAAACACAGGATGTTTCTCAGGGTAGGACTTTTTAGTATGCCTGCTTCTCCCCTCATTAAAAGTCCATCGTGCTCTCCTGTCATTGTCACTACCAACCAAGATGCGTTCATGCCTGATCACTGCCCTCCAGCATTAACTACTGAAAGTCTTGGGAAGCAAGATGTGTTCCATGCGCAAGCCCATGCCCCTGGGGAACGAAGCTGTTCATTTAACTCCTTTCTCAGCAACGCCCACTCTCCCCACCCCCGTCACTCACGCGGTAATGTAGCTTCACATACAGCTTGGGAAGCACGCAGGTGTCAAAGGCACCGGCTTTGGAAATGTCCCTGACGGCGCAGCCTCTACCATGTTTGCAAAGATGAACTTAACGACCTGGTCCTGGGGCGTGCATCGGGCGCAGGTCCTGCAGCGAATAGGCTGCACGTTGCCAGGGCTCTTTGGCACGACCCTTGCTCCTTTTTTTTTTTTTTTTGGTCATCTTGGAAGCAAGGACCGAAAGGGAAAAACATGTTTGAAGGGGGAATAAATGACGTGCAAAATTACCACAGCGCTCATTTCTTTGTGTGTATTCCCTTCCAGGCTGTGTCATTAGACAATATTTGCTCCGTTGTGTAAGGGAACAAGTTGGTTTTGGAAATAAAAATTTTTTTTTTCCTCCTCAATTTCCTTCATATGAAAATAAAAAATTTTAAGGTCATTTCTAGATGTTAAACGTTTCGTGAAATGGGTGAAAAGCATTGTGTAGGAAAGGCCCATCCCTAAGGTTTGTGGGGATTGGGCAAAAATACAAGTGGAGGCCCTTACACCGTAAGTGTAAATATTTCAAAGTTAGAAATCAAACTAATAGACAGTTAAACAAAATGTTGTCTAGTCTATGTTGAAAAATGTAGCGGGTTTGAACTGACAATTCTGGCTTGGCTTGAGAGCTCCACGCCAGCCGTGTCAGCATGGGTGAGCCAGCCCCCCACTTCTTCTGGCTTGGCCCTTTTTCTTCTCACCATGCCTCCATCCTGCACCAGGAGGGGTTGGTGTGGGCACCGCAGCCCTGTCCATTCAGGTTCTGTCTACACTCCCCCACCCCCAAGCAGAGCACTTGGCTGCTCTGGGCTAGCATTGCACATTCGAGGAGAACCGGCACCTTCCAGACCAGGTGAAGAGGCCTGCACAGCCCAGGGAGCAGGGCTGGACAGGGGATTCCAGGCTTCCAGCTGAAGGACGAGGATCTGGGGTGGGAAAGCCACCCAGGCCTGGCAGATTTCTCGCTCTGGGGTGGAAGAATAGGGCAGGAGGCCAGACGGGGGCCTCCAAAGCTGGGGCCCAGAGCGGGATCCTAGCAGCCCAAGTCTAAGGGCAGTGCTGGTGTGTGATTTATTTACAAAAGATGATAAGAGGATTTCCAGAGCTGAGAGTCCTTTATCCCAAAGTATTACAGGATGTGGATATCACTGCTTTTATCTTTCAGGCTCTATAGGCTCAGACATCACAAACCGACATGCATCATTTCAAAAACAATGTCATAAGATCCTATATCAATTTTTACAGCAAATTAATATATCCCACGTGGAACACAGTGCCTTTTACTATGTGTGACAGACAGGATGTTGGAGGGGTGCCTAAGGCGTACGAGGCTACGGTGTAAATAGCACCTGTGCCTGAAGAAAAGGAAACATTCTCAGGCTTCTCCAGGCCTGAAGTCATTCAAATGTACTCTATTTCCTTAGAATTTGGTATTTAAGCTAACAGAATTTTACTTTATAGGCCTTGAATTCTGGTAGCCCCTTCCTGGCTGGTCTGGGCAGCTTTGTTAAAACACAGACGTACAGCTGGGGGACCCCCTGTAATATACTGTTAAACATATTACAGCCAATACCCACAAGACCTGTATGTGACAAGAGGGGCTGCCCCTCCGCAAAGAACCATATGAGGATGTTTAGGACACACACAGAGAGGTCTGTATTTGTGCAAAATGTGTTCCCTTGATTTGAAGTCAGCCAACAAGGAGCTCATTATCGGGGACTTGAGGGAGAGCAACAGAACAAGTCATCAAAGCAGGCTGCGGCTTGGCCGGATGCGGTGGCTCGTGCCTGTAATCCCAGCACTTTGGGACGCTGAAGCAAGACCAGCCTGGGTAACATAGTGAGACCCCATCTCTACAGAAAAATTTAAAAATTAGCCAGGTGTGGTGGTGTACACTTATAGTCCCAGCTACTTGGGAGGCTGAGGGGGGAGGATCATTTGAGCCCAGGAGTTTGAGGTTATAGTAAGCTATGATCAGCCCACTGCATTCGAGCCTGGGTGACAGAGTGAGACTCTGTTTCTTAAAAAAAAAAAAAAAAAAAAAAAGAGCAGGCTGGGCTATTTGCCTCCGGTTTGCCCAACCCAGAACCAACGAGGCTAAAGGCATCTGGTAACTACCGATGGCTGTTTTACAGAATTCCCAGTAAAGACTCCAGCAAATTCCCAGTAAAGACTCCAGCAAATTCCCAGTAAAGACTCCAGCAAATTAAGGGTTCTGATGGGGAACTGTCTTCTAAAGCCACATCTGAGTGCCTGCATCAAGTGGTTGCATTCCATTTTCCATAACTGGCCCCTACATTCTTACCCTACTTATATCTCAAAACCTTAGTAACTGTTGATAACCCCTACCACCCATCCCACAAAAAAGCAGGCACTAAAGCTTGTTTTCATTTTATTATTATTTGTTTATTTTTAACAGATAGGGTCTTGCTGCGTTGCCCAGGCTAGAGTGCAGTGGCTATTCACAGGCACGATCATAGATCACTGCAGCCTCAAACTCCTGGATTCAAGCAATCCTCCTGCCTCAGCCTCCTGAGCAGTTGGGACTACAGGCACGTGCCACTGTGCCCGGCCTTTATTTATTTTAAAAGAAAGGATTAAAAAAGAAAGAAAGAAAGAAAGAATTTTCTCTATTACCACTTCCTTCAGCATCATTCAGAGCCTTATTTATTGCAGCCTACAGAGAGCTTCTTCACTGTCTCTGGTCCCTTCCCCCAGGCCAGTTCACTGTTCCTGCAAACATATTCACCCTCACAGAACACCGCTTTGGATGACACCATTCCTCTGCTCAGAACACTTCAAAGGTTCTGCCTGACCTACCAAAGCCAGTCCAGAGTGGAACATTTGGCCCTTTCTCTCCTAACACCCTGCCCTGCATTTGCTTGAATGAATCCCTCTATCCCAAACCCCCTTGCTCTGCTCCTCTTTCAATCGCAGAACTTAAAGCTAACATTTAACAAAGCACTCCTACGAGGAAGGCATATCAACTCAGTTAGTGCTCACAACACCACCATGAAGCAGGCACAACTGCCCTCACTTTGGAGATAAGGAAACAGGGACTGAAGGATCAAGTAACTTGTCCAAGCTCACAGCTGAGAAGGACAGAACCAGGATCTGAACACAGGCAGTGTGGCTCCCGCATCTTGGCATCTAAGGAACCAGCTGGAGGGGGAGCAGCCTTCTGTCCCCCTGGACTCGCATGCTCCCAGGCCCCAACTAGGTGCAATACCTGCTGGTACAGTTCCTTGCACATAATAGGTACTCTAAACAGTTTAATTTTTATTCCTTATAGAACCATTTTATTTTTTACTTGTCCTCATTCTAGTTTCCCCTGACTTCTAAAAACTGCATTCAAATATACATAACATTTTACCAATTTTAAGTGTGCGGTTCAGTAGCATTAAGTGTATTGACACTGTGTGAAACCATCACCGCTATTCATCTCCAGGACTCTTTTTATCTTTCCAAACAGAAACTCTGTACCCATTAACATAACTCCCTGTTTCCCTCTCTCCCCAGCCACTGGACTCTCCCTAGTCTCTGGCTCTATGAATTGACTGTTCTACCACATGTAAGTGGGATAATACGATATCTGTCGCTTTGGGTTTGGCTAATTTCACTTAGCATCGCATTTTCAAAGGTCCTCCATGCTGTAGCACGTGTCAGAATCCCCTTCCTCTCTAAGACTGAATAACATTCTATTCTATGTATGTACACGTTTTGTTTATCTATTCATTCGTCCCCAGTTTCAGCGTCAGTTTGGATGATGAGAAAGTTCTGGAGGTGGATAGTGGTGACGGCTGCACAACGTGAAGGTCCTTAATGCCATTGCACTGTACACTTACAAATGGTTAAAATAGTAAATTTTATATTTTACCACAAGAAAAAAATTATCGAAAGAAAAAAATTCATACTCCTCCAGAAGAGAAGTTGTAGGCCTACACTAGGGTTTCTTAACTGTGGCACTATGACATTTTGGGCTGGACAATTGTTTGTT